GATGGCAGGAGTGGAAGAGAGGGTATCCCTACAAGACCTCAAGAAGAAAATGGCTGACTTTGCAAAGGAAAGAGACTGGGACCAGTTTCATAGTCCTAGAAATCTCCTTTTGGCCCTGGTATGTTGCTCCTCTTCCTAACCCTAACTACAATCTAGAATAAGCACACCATATTGATATACCTTTGTCAAATATCTATGCTTTGTTTTGTTTTGTATCGGGATTTTTCTGTAGTCCCATCAGAGCTTGAAACAAAGTGACAAACCCCATTTCTCTCTACTAAAATTTATGCGTGTTAGGCCTAAGTGTGTGTAAAAGCTGCTTAATTTTATGCATTTTCATGTTGTATATTACTATTGATCTTTGGCTTTCAATTCTTTAGTCTCAATTCTCCTTTTTGGTCAAGTCTTATGATTTAGCTCCTTTAAAGTATTATATATTAATCTACTGGAAAATACAGACAATGACTGAATCTGATCGTTTGTTGAAGAAGAAAAGGAGGATAAATGGTTTACTGACCCTTTCTTCATGTTTCTTCTAGCATTAGACCATTTGCTTTTTGATTTTTTGCCAAAAAGTTTTAAACCCAACTGCATAATCTCCTTCTTTTTATTCATAGATGGTGCTGGATCTTTTTCAGTTGGATAGTTGCACTCCTCCCTTGTCTATTTTCTAGTTATACTCTCTGAATGGTTTCTCGGATCCAAGTGAAGCTAAATAGATTTTTTATCTGCTTTCTTACTTGCCCATGTTTGTATTTTGCTGCTCGAGTGGTTTCTTGTATATGAATTTTGAAAAATTGAAGAGGTTGGGCGTCGAAAAGCTAGAACTTCATCAGCTTCCACTGTTTGAAACCGCATGTTTTTCTATTGCACAAGTAAAGCAATGGCAAGCACCATTTCTGGGCCACATTATGTTTCAGAACAAGACCCCACATTGTTTGATTATAACTACAGTTCTTATGTGAAGGCGCGATGATAATAATGGTGGAGGTTTCCCTGTCAGGCTCATGTCTCGCTTCAGTATTTCGGTGTGTGATTGTATTTTGTTGTTTTGTTCGTGTTTCAGGTGGGAGAGGTAGGTGAATTGTCTGAGATATTTCAATGGAAAGGAGAGGTTCCAAGAGGGCTCCCTGATTGGAAAGGTGAAGAAAAAGAGCACCTTGGAGAGGAGTTATCAGATGTGTTGCTGTATCTTGTTAGGCTCTCTGATGTATGCGGTGTTGATCTTGGTAAAGCTGCCATGAGAAAGCTGGAGATCAATGCCATCAAGTACCCTGTTCAGCTCTGTAAGGGCACCTCAGAAAAAAAACTGCCAATCAACGCAGGCAACAATGCTAGTGGTGATGGTGTTACAGGGAGCATTTATAGCAACAGCAGCACAAGTAACAGTAATGGTGTCTGATGTTCTGAGATGATGTCCTCTCTGACTTTCGTAGCAGGCCTCCCGTCTGAGGTTTAGTATACACTAGCTAGTAGCCTAGTGCTGGTCTTTTTCTCTTTTTGTTTGATAGTGTTATGTAGCAGTACATTAATCTACCACCATTACATATATACTGTATTTTCATTAGGGAATAATGTGTTTGTTTTTGCCGAATCTTTTTCTTAAACTCAGATTTACTTGAAAAAATATTAAAATAATTTTAAAAAATAATTTGTAAAAACAAAAAAAATTATGGACATTCTTTATGCTTCCTCTTGTCTTTTCTCACAGATGGATTTGGAACGAACTTGATGTTGATGTTGATGTTGAAGTGGAGTGGCGTGAATAGTGTCTCGCTTCGCATGAGTGCAATATGGATTGGTGAATTAAATTATCTTAATTTTAATATTTTTTTTCTTAATTATCTTGTTTTATTTACTAATTTAATGACGAGCTTTTATGCATGATTTAAATATTTATAAAAATCAAAGTGGTTGTTTTTAATGCAAGCTTTTAGTACAGGTTTTTTTAATCAAAATTAAATACATATCATTATTATATTGCTATTATCATGTAAATAACAGCTTTAATTATATTTAAAAAAATATAAATTATTATTATATATTTTGATATTTATGTGAGTAATTACAGCTAGTAACTAAAACACTTATAGTACTGTATATATAAGTGAGGCTCCTTATTTGAAAATACTTAGAAAGAAAAAAAAACTTATATATATAATACTTGAGTCCTAATGGAATATATTATATTTCAATTTTATTTTCTTTACTCTATTAACTTCGTGTGTCTATATATTATTTATGATCTAGATTAATAAAAAAAACATTTTTATTTGTATTTATAATTTCATAAATGTAATGTAAATTACATGAATACCATAAAAAATATGGAAGTTTCTTATCATACTTTTCTATTTAGACATCTTAATATGTTTTTTTAATTGTTTTACAAGTTTGAACTACACTGGTAAAATTATTTTTCAAATAAATAAATTCTTGTATGTATTTTTTTCCCCCAAAAAACTAAAAGACTGACAGTCCCTCCCTAATCAGAGAGAGAGAGAGAGAGAGAGCAAGGTCAATAGCGTTGGCTTAGCTTGTTATTGAAGGACAGATACTAGGCTTGATTATTTTCTGCTTCTCTTCTAATTTTTTGGTTTTTTCTTGTATTTCAAAAAAATCAGTAGATTTATTTGCTCTTTAGTTTTGACATGGTTATTGAATACAAGTAGATTTTTATTTGAATTTTAATAATTATTTTATCAATTATTATGTAACTTAAATGAAAAGGATAATACTAATAATAAATTATTTATGAAAACTCAATTCAATTTTTTTTATTCTTAAATCTTTTAAATAGATTTAGAATATGATTTTATTATATTTATGATTCTTTTAGTTTTTAATCACGTACACATAAAATATGAATATTTAATTTTGATTTTTTTTTTGTTGACTTGCTTCAAAAATAAAGAGAAACAATGATTCCACTTAAAAACATTATGTTTTCTAAAATAACCAAGAGATGTATCACTAGAAAATTTTATCTTGATAGAAAAAAATAAATCAAAATGATTACATTTTCATATTTAATAACATTATCAAAATTTTTCATAAAACCTTAATATTTACAAACTTGTTATAGAAAACATTAAAAGGTGTGGCCATTTTACAGGTACATCAACATTGCTGACCACCTTATATTTTGCTGTGAATTAACTCTTCATGAATCTTTATTTTTTTTATTTTATTTTAATCCTCAAAACTTTTTCTTAAACGATTGCATATTTTCATGCTTAATAAAAATGACAAAAAAATTCGTGAAACCTTGACATGTTTTCTTGTTTAAAAAAATGTTGGGTCTCCACAAAGTTATATAAAAAAAACACGACAAGGTGAGGTTGTTTTACTCTACATTGACATTGCTCATCACCTCATATTTACTGTGGATTAAACGTTCATATTTTTTTTCTATTTTTTTTTGGTGATTGTATTTTTTGAGCTAAATTAAAATTAAAAGATAATTGAATCAAATTTATTGGTCAAAAGACAAGATTAAAAGAAGAGAGGATAAAAAAAAAATATTGAAAATAAGTGATGGGTTCAAAGTTATAGCAAAAGGTTTATTTTACTTCTTAAACTTTATAAATTATACCTATTTGATTTCTTTATATTTTTTGAAATTTAATTTTAGTATAAGAATTTTATTTTTTTTATTTTTTTATTCTTGATTTGAGAGATAAGAGAGAAACCACTAGATTCTAGTAGCAAAAAATAAATAAATTAATATCAACACCAATTCTGCCAACATAAAAAATAAAAGTCTATGCATGGGCCTGATCTTTTCTTCTTTTTTTTTTTTTTGTAATTTCACTTATTTTTTTCAAAAAATATGCTTTTTATATGTTTTTTTAAATTTTTTAATTTATATTTAAATTAATACTCATTCTCATTGTTTTTTTAATCATGTTTTAAATAGTTGTTTTTTTTTAAATTATCTTGTATGCATTCAATTTTTAAAAAGATTATTTTAATTTATTTATAATTTTTTCAATGTTTATATAATCAAACTCTATTAATAAAAAAAATATTTATTTTTTATAGCATTTTTAATAAATACAACCTTGTGAAATATTTTTTTCATTTCATTTTATTTAATTTATTTTATGCACATATCTATTTTTACAATCATTTAATTAAATAAAAAATTAATTTTAATAAATAGAATTATTGAATACAATCAAATAAATGATTTTTCTTGTAAAATTAAATGTTTTTATTTATCTCTTTCTCTTGACTTTTCCAGATATATATTTAGTTATTATTAATAAATTTTTATTTATTTATTAATATATATGATTTTTAATTTATCTAATTAAATACATACTTAGAATTTTTAATTTATATTTATTTTTTTATGTAACAAAATTTTTCAAAGAAACCTTTATATTTAATATTTTTATTAAAAAAAAACTTAATTCGTATTAAAATGTGTAACAAATATCTAGTATTTTGTAAACACATTACTATCACCATTTCCATCCCCACGGCCGGCCACCACGGTCACCATCTCCGATGTCTCCATCGTCACCACCGACGTTATTATCACTATCCCCAGGAGTCCTCTTTTATCCACCTGCTTGATGTTATCGTTGCACAACAATGAATTGATTTTTTTTTTTTTAACACAGCTAGGGCATAGAAAATATTATTTTCAGTGATACATAATTAGCTCTATAATTTTTAATCATTTTTTGAACTAATTTATTTATTTATTTTATTTGTATAATCTTATTCAAAAGAAAAAACAGTAGACACCACGCAACATCATCTTTCCAATCTCTTCTAGTATAATGTTAGTGGTGTTAATATGGTTGATAATTTGTTAGTAATTTAATTTTACAAATTAAATACTAACAGGATTTGGTTGTGAAATTTTTTAATTTGAGTTCCTGGCATCCTGTAGAGATGTCTTTTTCAACTATCCACTCTTGAAAAAAAAGTTTTGAAATATGATTGAAATAATATTTATTTAAATTTAAATTTTTTTTGTTAATTTTTGTTAATATTATTTTAATTTACTAATATCAAAAATAATTTTTTTAAAATAAAAAAAATATATATTATTTTGATATATTTCTAAATAAAAATATATTTTAAAACTGCAATCATTACTACAAACCAAAATAAGCTGTTTAGATAGCAAAATACACATCGCAATCTTTTTTTTCCTATTTATTTTGGAGGTATATGTTATATGTTATTTGTGTTTTATCCTTGTTGTTATGGATTTTAAATTTTTCATATCAATAATGTTATTTATGAATTATATTTTTTTTATATAATTATTTTAAGTTTGACAGTTTCTCTTTTCCCTCTTTTATTAATTTTCTGAATACACACACCTCTCCCCCTTGTTTTTGTGCTTGTTTTAGAGAGTAATAAAAATTATTTTTTAAAATTGTTTTTATTTGAAAATATATTATAATAATATTTTTTTTGAAAAAGTTAATTTTAATATAAGTTCATTAAAATAATTTTAAATAAAAAATTAATTTTTTTATATAAAGACAATTGAACCACATTGACAAATACTCCAATTTCTATTCTATTCAATTTTTTTATATACATAAGGGGCCTCAGCCCGAAAAGAACAAAAGGAAGTATCTACAATTCTACTTGTTATTTTTTTTATTGTTTATTTTTTTATTATTAATATCTTTTTTAATTGTATTATTAAATTAATTAAGTTTATTTAACTATTTAAATCAATGATCCGAGTTCATATTCTTTTTCCATATTAGGAAAAATTTAGGAAAAACCATCTATCTAGTATTAGCAAGAGAATCAACTGCAACAGTTGGATATCTGGACTTTGCCCAATGGCCTCTCTATTAGCTCTGCTTATTGAAGCATCTTTTATTGCATGGAAGTGGTGAGTAGATCATTAACCACTTAGCAATTAACTTCTAGGATCACCAGTGTGCTGCCATTGTTCCAAGCCAATTCTAGCTCTGTTTTAGCAGCAGCCCATAATTAGGCTCGCATGTCTCTTTACTTAATAAACTAGACTGCCTTAAAACCTTTTGCGACCCTTATGAGCTGAATGAGCCCATAGTCTCAGCTTGCCGAGTCTTGAATTTTTTTTTTATTCTATTGAACTCGATCCACGTTCAACAGGAATGGAATTTCTCACTTCCACTTCCGGCCCCTTCTTGTTGTTTCAATGGACGTTACATCTATCACACCAACTATTTATTGTTCTAAAGAAACCCTCCCTTTCTTTCTTGAACCCTTTTCTTTTGCGATCAAGAAAAAACACCAAAAATGAAGAGAGATCGATCATCAAGAAATCACTGGTGGTGTTGGGATTTCTACTGGCAAAAAAGCTGAATCTTCTTCTTCATCAATGGCAACTGGGAAAGGAAAATTATGGGTTGAAGACGACGATTAAGATGAAGGTGGCTTGGATGAATTGCTTGCTGTTTTGGGTTAGAAGATTTTAAGTCGTCAGATATGGCTGCGAGCAGCTCGTGAGGGAGCCTATCATTTCAGCTTCCTTCGGCCAGAGTTATTTGTGAAGCTAACCACCTTAGTCAAAAATGGTGGGAGAAGGTGTAGTCATCCTTTTATAT